ATTGAGGGAGTTATGATCAAAATACGACGACTGCCTCGTTTTTGAAAATCTTGGATTTGGACAGATTGCCTTAAGGATTTTTCCAAATTGTTGATTGATTAACCACCTTTCCGAGGGTATTTTTCCATGAAATTTGATAGAGAGATACCCTTCATATGGGAGTATTATACTGCAAAATTTGGTGTCAATCCAAGTCCGTTTTGACACTTAATAAAAGGTCCAAAGTCGGAACCAAATCTGGAAATTTTGTAACAGTCTTGAATTTTTCCCAACTTTGAGCTATCATATCTTGGTACTCGAAACTCCAATTCTTGAGCCGCTTGTTCTGTCCAAAACTTTACTTGTACTTCTAATTGAGTTATAAGTTTCAAGGGCCGGTTTGCAACGAGTGATTTTTGCCGAATTTCCAAAGTTAGCGAAAAACCAACCCCGGCTCAATCCTGGTAATCAAGAACAGCAACTTTAGGCTCCTTTTTGAATGCCTTCTACTTAGATTCATGGAACAGTGTCTTCTAAGGACTTTTAGTACTTTGAAAGACGATTCCAACGGTACCAAATTTATCAAGTTTCGAAAGAAGTTATGATTTTTCAAAAATTTGACCAAAAATAAAAAATTCTGAAATTTCAAAGAAAATCCGCGCGGGAACTATTCTACCAGAATTCGGCCTTGAATCTGGCCAGTTTCTGGCTGGATTATCGGCCGGATTGGTGGTGAAATTTGAAAAAAAGGGAGGTTAGCCACTGCCTCCAATCCGGCCAGAAATCCGGCCGGATACCCGGCCGGATTGTGACGTAACCAACCCTCTTTCGATTTTTATTGTTCGTTTTGCAATCATTTCGCTCGTACTCGTTTCCAACCAATGATTTTAAGGATAATAATCCGATTTTCTTTTACTTGAGTCCTACACCTTTTGAGAATCCAACTTCAAAGGCAAGTCAAACGAAGTTTCAAATATTTTCGAACCTTACTCGTGTTCAATCTTTCTCACCACTTGGGGACCTATAGTAATTATCTAATATTCGATGTCCAGGCACGCACGAGGACCTCCAAGAGGGCCCTACCGTGGAAGTTTGAACTCTCCCTCCAACCTACTTGCTTGCATAACTTGGTGAGTGTCAAGTGTATGCTTACTTGAATTCTAAAGTCTTGATTCATGCTTGACTTACCTGATTACATGCTTAGTCTATTTGATTTTGAAAAATGGAGTCGAGTGTTTACTTAATCGAACCATTGAGTTCTTCTCTCTCTTTGAGAGCTCTTTCTCTCTCTAGCTGAGAGCTTTCTCTCCACTGAGTGGGAGATTGAATTTCAAAAACTCAAAAAACCACCGCCCAAACACCAACAACTCAGCACTCAAAAAAAAAAACTAAATTGCAAAGCTCAAACCATCGGCGTAGATCCATATGGTAAATCTGAACACCCACACTCAGACAAGGTCCAATGAGTTGTGGGAACACAAAAATCAACAAAGACAAGAAGAAATTTTCACGCATTGAAGAGGTTCATTAAAGAGGGAACTAAAAACAGAGTAGTCATGCAAGAGCAAGGGAAAGCTTGGTCTTCTACACCGAGTCAGTAAATGCTCATAAATTGCTAGGTTTTGCTGCTACCAGGTATCACTGCTGTTAGCTACTCTACTTAACCTTAATCACACATGCACTTGCACGATTAGAGTTGCTTTTTGCCTATCTAGTAATGTATTTACCTACAAAAAAGTGTAATCTGGTTTCATATTCGCACTGAGTTGTTCAAGTCTTTAATCATTGGATAGATATAGTTAGAGGAATCCCTTTTAGATCTACTTGGGGCTATGGCGGATGAATTGGAGGAGGTGCTGAAAAAATTTGCTCTGTCCAACATAGAATAGGAAGGAGCATGGCTGGAGCTGGATGACTTCGATCCAGGAGTTTCTGAATGTATGACTAGTATCATAGGCAAAATAAGAGGAGAAAAGGTGGCAAATTTTACTGGGGTGAAGAATTTTGTCAATGCAGCATGGGGATATCCTAAAGATCTTACAATTACTGAGTTGGGACCCAATCTTTTTCAGTTCTTTATACCGGATGTAGGGAACAGAACACGTATTCTCAATGGGGGGCCATGGTTGATAGATAACCAAATTTTAGTACTAAATAGGTGGGAAGCAGGAATAGAGGAAAACACTGAGGCATTCAGATTTGCCCCACTCTGGGTGCAAGTTTGGAACTTGCCAATCCATTGGATATCAAAGGAAGTTGGGAGAAAAATTGGAAAGGTGTTTAAAGAGGTTAAGGAAGTACTAATTCCCTACTCTGGAGGTAAAGAAGGAAAACACCTTAAATTGTTAGTGAGTGCAGATTTGTCCAAACCACTGCTAAGAGGAACTACTGTGAAGACTAATGGCGTGCTAAGATGGGTTAATTTCAGGTATGAAAGGGTACCGGATTTTTGCTACAATTGTGGCATAGTTGGCCACGGTGAAAAGAAGTGCAAGAATATAGTAACCATCAGGAAAGGGCAACAAGAAAATCAGTTTGGACCTTGGCTGAGGGCTCAGGTAGGGAAGAGTTCTCCTCCAAAAGATGATAGGACTAGTACCTTCACTCCAGATAAGCAAGTGTGGGGATTCCATAATGGGAATGGGTTAAGAAAGAGTGGCGGGAAGTTTATAGTACAGGAGGATCATCTTAATAGATCTGGGATAGGAAAGGAAGGGAAGGAATCTATGAGCAAGGAATTAGTGTTGCAAGGTCAGTTGGAAAAGGAAAAGGAGAGGGCTCAAATTTCAGGTCAAGAAGATGAGGATATTCAGGAGGCACAAGAGACGGATTGGTCTAAGATGGTGGAGGAGATGAGCAAAGGTGAAGAGCAGACACCTAGACCAGATTCAAGGGAGAATGGGAAGGAGATATCTGAAATGGAACCATCTGCAGCAGGTGAGGTGGGGAACAGGATTCAGACTAATGAGTTGGATGATGGAGGAAGTATGAAGACAGCTATGCAGGTGGATGGGGAGGAGCCTGTTCAGACTAAATGTGTAGGAACAAGGAGAGGGAGGAAGGTGAAACTGTTAAACAAAATAAGTGTAAGAAATAGAACCCCTGAGAGAACTGCAGAACTTGGAACATGGATCTGAGCTGAACACCAAGAGGAAACTGCACATTGTGGATGAGGAAATGGTAGAGACGGCAGATGTGGATACAACCAGGAAGAGGAATAAAGTGGGGAATGGGGAGACCTTTATTGGCCGGGACAAGAGGGTGGAAGAGACCAGCCCAGTATGGTCTCTCAACCATTCATGAGGGCTCTGGTGTGGAACTGTCAAGGTGCTGGGAGCCCTTGACAGTTCCCCATCTGAAGGAGGAAAACAGACTCTCCCCAAATATTATTTTCCTAAGTGAAACAAAAAATAGGAAAAACTACATGGAAAAAGTTAAAAAAATTCTGGATTTTGAAAATAGCTTTATAGTGGAAGCAATGAACAGAATTGGCGGCATGGCCTTACTGTGGAATAATGAGGTGAATATCCCTGAAGTTCTAGGAACAGCCTTCACTATTGAGGCAAAAGTGGAAGACAAAGAGAACAAGGAAAGTTGGTGGTTTATTGGAATATATGCTAGTTGTGATGCTCAGATAAGAAGGAAACAATGGGAAGTTATAAATAGAAGGAAATCAATCTGGGGAGCAAAATGGATAATCATGGAGACTTTAACGACATTACTTCAAATGATGAAAAATGGGGTGGAAGGGTAAGAGATAATGGGAGCTTTCAAGATTTCAGGAATTTCATTAATGATAATCAGTTGGTTGATGTGGGTTACGAAGGAAAGCCGTGGACATGGAGTAACAACTGGTATGGGCCTGGAGAGGTAAAAGAAAGATTGGACAGAGGTTTATGCACCTTAGAATGGTCCAAATGTTATGAGGAAGCAAACTGTACTCATATAGAATCCCAGGCTTCTGATCATAGTATGTTATTACTGGAAACTCAGAAGGGCAGGAAGCAAAGAAGAAAGAGATTCCAGTTTGACAAGAGGTGGCTCCAACATAGTGAGGTCGAGGAAGTGATTAAGAAAGCCTGGGACATTCCATGTGCTGGAACAAGATGGTTCAAGGTAAAAGAGAAAATTAAGAATTGCAGAATTGAGTTACTAAAGTGGAGCAGTAGCAAGAAAGGAAATTCCTCCGAAAAGATTAAATGGTGCAAAAGCCAGATTGAGGAAATCAAGGCATCTAATCGAGATAACAAGAAGCAACAAGTACAGGATATGAAGGGACAATTGAAAAAGGCATATGAGGAGGAAGAAGCTTTTTGGAATCAAAAGGCAAGAGTGAGGTGGCTAAAGGAGGGGGATAAAAATACTCAGTTTTTCCATGCAACGGTGAAAGGAAGAAGGAAGAGAAATAGGTTGCAGAAGTTGAGAAAGGAGAGTGGAGAATGGACTACCAATGATGAAGAACTGGGTGGGGAAATAGCCAAATATTATGTGGACTTGTTCAAATCGACAGCAAATGGGCAGCTAGAGGAGATCTTAACGGGGATTCCTATAACTATAACTGATCATATGAACAAGGATTTGACCAAAAAAGTGTGATGAAATTGAAATAAAGAATGCATTTTTTTCAATGGATCCTAATAAGGCTCCTGGAAATGATGGCATGTCCCCCTTTTTTTTCAAAAATTCTGGAGTCTTATTAAAAAGGATTTGGTAAATGCAATCCAAGGTTTCTTTCATCATGGAGTCATTCTCAAAGCCATAAACCATACGGTTATCTCCTTGATCCCAAAAGTTGAATGTCCTACAGAGATTAACCAGTATAGGCCTATTAGTCTCTGTCAAGTGGTCTATAAAGCATTAGCAAAAATCCTTGTTAACAGACTAAAGCCTTTTCTAAGTAGATGCATCAGCAAAAGTCAATCTGCATTTGTACCAGGTAGGCAAATTTTAGACAATGTCATCCTTTCTCATGAGTTAATGCACTATCTAAAAAACAAAAGGCAAAAGGTAGTGTAGGCTCTATGGCAGTGAAACTGGACATGTCTAAAGCCTATGACAGAGTGGAATGGAGTTTCTTGAAGGCTATAATGGAAAAAATGGGCTTTTGCTCAACTTGGGTAAACTGGATCATGGCATGCATAAGTACAGTAACCTACTCCTTCAGTATTAATGGTGAGCACAAGGAGTTTGTCACCCCCTCAAGAGGTATCAGGCAGGGAGACCCACTTTCCCCTTACCTATTTCTGCTTTGCTCAGAAGGACTATCAAGTTTGCTGCAGAAAGCTAAGATAGATAAGGAGCTGACAGGTATAAAAATTTGCAGAAGGGCGCCTACAATAACTCATTTGTTCTTTGCAGATGATTCCTTGGTATTCTGTAAAGCTAACAAACAAGAAGCAGAGAAGCTGAAAAGGATCCTCAAAAGTGTATGAAGAAGCAACAGGGCAACTCATTAATATGGATAAGTCCTCAGTCTTATTCAGCAAAAACACATTGCCAGCTGTGAAGAGTGAAGTAAGTCAGGCGATGGGATCCATTACACAGGTTGAACAAGGCAAGTATCTTGGGTTGCCAATGGTAATAACAAGATCAAAAGAGCAGGTATTTGGATTCGTAAGGAACTCAATAGATAAGAAACTGAAAGGATGGAGGAATAAGTTGTTAAGCCAAGCAGGGAGGAAATAATGATTAAAGCTGTGGCAATGGCAATGCCTACATACACTATGTCCTGCTTCAGATTAACCACAAGATTTGTAAAGAAATCAGTTCGAAAATGGCTGATTACTGGGGTGGGGTGATGCTGATGGGAAAAAAAAGTTGCACTGGATAAGCTGGAAGAAGTTGACAGCTAAGAGAAGCAATGGAGGAATGGGCTTTAAAGATTTGAAGCTGTTTACAAGGCTCTATTGGCTAAACAGATTTGGAAACTAATAACACAGCCAAATTTGTTAGTCAGTAGAGTACTGAAGGAGAAGTACTACCCCAAGCAATCACTTTTCAATGGCAAAGTACCGCAAAATGCTTCTTGGATCTGGCAGAGCTTAGCAGGAGTAAGAAAGGAATTGCAAGAAGGAATTAGGAGGAAGATTGGAAATGGGAGAGGTACCAGAATATGGGAAGATAATTGGATCCCAGGAACAGTGGAAGGGAAACAACTACTACAAGGCCATTGGGGTGTCAACTGATATTAGTGTCTGACTTGATCAGGCACAACAGATGGAATAGAGTCCTGGTTTTCAAAACGTTTAACTCACAGGATGCGGAGAGAATATTGAGTATACCATTAAGTGTAACAGGATATGAGGACAGCTATTTCTGGATGCATTCCCAAGCTGGACAGTACACAGTTCATTCTGGTTATAAAGCTTGGCTGAAGGCGGAGGAAAAAAGGTACACAAGAAGGAAGGAGGATGCTGGAACAAGCTTTGAAGGAACTAACTCCAAGATATGGAATTCATTGTGGCAACAGAAGGTAAGTCAGAAACTAAAGGTTTTCATTTGGAAATGCTTGCATGGGGGTCTCCCAGTTAAGGAGGCAATTTTCACAAGAACAAAGTTAGGGAACCCCATATGTACTGGATGTGGTGAGAAGGTGGAAACGATAGAACACATGCTGCTGCAATGTGCTAAAGTGAAAGAGATTTGGAAAATGGCGCCAGTGCAGTGGGATGGGATAGAACATCTATCTGACAACTTCACCAAATGGTGGTCCGCAATCCAGGAAGCTCAAGCAAGTAGAGGTGTGGAGGATCAAGTGAATATAACCATTAACATTCTCTGGCAGATATGGAAATCCAGGAACAATAGAGAGTTTAATCATAAGGAAAAGGTGCCTTTCAAGATCATTGAGAAGGCACAGCAGGAGTGGTCTGAATACAATGAAGCTAACAAAGGCGAGAATTCAAGAAGGAGCACTCAGGAAACAGCGATACAGCAACGGACTATCCAGGTTCAACATGAGAGCCACACTGGTATATCATTGAAGATCCATACGAATCAGGACAGAAGGCAAGCAGCAGTGGGAATTGGAATCACAGCCATAGATAACTTGGGACAAATGCAAGCAGCATGGGCACTTAGAGAAAGGTCATCCGGGGATACATTACAAGACCAAGCTGTTGCGGTAAGATTAGCACTGCTGAAAGTTGCAGGCCAAGGCTGGAGGAATGTCAAAGTAGAACTTGACAATCGCAAGGTAGAATATATAACAGCAGCAGCAACGTACAACAACCAGCTGATGGCCACTCTAATTGAGGACATTAGATCCATTGGTACTTCGTTTCAACAGTGCTCTATTCTTTTTGCTAATTCTAGGAAAATAGGAAGTATCAAACTGAGCATTCATGCTCTAAACATCTGGGTAGATGAAGAATGGGTGAATCCCAATTTTAGATGCTAGGCATCAGTGATCCGTAGGATATTTTGTTCTTTTGATTGGACCTTTGTCCAAAATATTGTAAAGCTTACAGTTCTATATATATAAAACAAGCTAACGTTTCGACAAAAAAAAAAAAGTTTACTTAATCGCACTCGTTCTCATTTGGCACAAATGACTCATATCTAACATGCTCTGCCTGGTTTACATGACCTACAATACATGCTTAAACCTGTTGAATGCTTGAATATATGCCATGGTATGCTATGATTGCATACGTCGATAGAGTGAATCTCCTCGACATTTATATGATACATGAGGGACGCCCAAACTCATAGGCCAACCTTGGAACTCGAGCCGGCATGGGCTTGGTCGGGAACCTCGGTGAACCATGAGATTCACATGATAAGCTTGATCTATTGAGAGATCTCGCTTGGCATACTCGTAAAGTATCGTCTTATAAATGTCGTGCAGGCCCGAAGTGGTGTATGGTGGACGGATGAGAAGTAAGTGGTGAACTACGGATATGAAAATATCAACCCGGTTGACGGAGAGTCATCACGGGGAGATATACAAATGACATCGGCAAATGTAGAACTTAGCTCCTGAGAGCTTCCATATCCTTGAATTGTTTCTGGTTACATTTTGTCGGCATTATTAATTACTTGCAAGCTATTACCTGAATTGTATTTGGGCTTGTTATCTGAACTATGTGTCTGCATGTGTGTTCTTGGCCTCACGAGCGTTTCGCTCACCCTGTAGATTTGTTTTCCTTAACAGGTGTGAACTCGAAGGTAAAATGGAGAAGCCCTCCTGATGTACTTTTGTTTTAGGGTTTGCTATTACTTTTGGTTATGCCTTTGATTTTGGGATTGTACTTTTGGTATGGAAATGTAACCTTTGGATGAAATGTATTTTGTATACTAACGTGTGGTTTGGAGAATGGATGACTATTATTAAGTTTGAACGCTTGCGCATTTATTGTATCTAAGTTATCGGTTTGTTTTGTGTGGTCCGGCTATAAGTTGAATGGAATTGCTTGAGTCCTGGCGAGAGCTAGCCAGACGTCCCGCGGATACCCTTTGGTTCGCCTTAGGGAGAAGTGGGGGCGTCACAGGCTATTCCTCTGTCAAATTTCATAGGAAAATTCATTCGGAAAGTTGGTTAACAAAACCATTAAAGTTTCCAAATCCCCAAGGCAAAGCTGCCTTGCACCTCTAGTTTTCTTTTCTCAAACCTTTGGCCAATGAAAACATCCCAAATATGGTTCATTTGTGTAGACAATGTCTAAGAAACATCCAAGATACATTTTGTAGATGATTTACACCAAGAATTTCGAATAACAAGTCCCAAGTCAAGATTGGTTACAAATCAGTCCAAAAGTAGGGTTTTCTTTCACAAAGTCAGTTTTTGAAATCCGGCCACAACTCACTCAATTCAACTCAGAATTGAGTGTTGTTGGTGGCGTTGAAAACTACATTCATAGAGCTACAACTTCTCAGAATAAATCATTTTAAAAATCTGTCCACAACTAGCTCATATTTGAGCATCAATTCACTGCTCAAAACAGAGCTTCCAGTATGGATGTGAAACAGAACAGGCAATTTTATAAGGTTGGTACGGATTACTCAGGTGGAATCAGGATGAGCATTTTACACCGTTGGAAAGCTGGGAATGTCTAATTTCTAGTGCCACAAACAACTCGATTTCGATGTTGGAGCAAAAAGGTATAGCTGTTTGAAAAACACTGCCAGAGCAATACAGGAAAAATTCCAGTTTTGACGAACTTTCGAAATCACAACATTTGGCAACCAAATCACGTAATTTTTTGTGGAAACCTTCCACACAGCCCACACAACATATATACATCATAAATAAGTCAATTGAACCTCAAAAAAATGCTCTAAGGGTCACGGCATTGACAGGGGTAGAAACGGAAAAATTCCCCTCTTCACTTCCTTTGAGTTTCCATCCACAATATCACTTATTTCTACTAAATTAAGCACTAATCCAACATTAATAACATCAAAACTCATTAAATCAGTCCATCAAGTCATAGTGGGAGTTCAAAGAGCCCACACACCAAATTTCTAACAATTTAAAGCTACCTATGAGAATCTAAGAGCTCATGAGTGTAATATAACTTCCATAAACTAATATTTTGGTAGTTGATTGTTGTTTACCTTCCTTAATGAACAAAGCAGAAAATTTTGGCCTCTTGAAGCTAAAAAAAAACCGTTAGATGAAACTCTTTTCCTAGCTTGAGATGATCTCCAAGTGGTTAGCAAAGTGTAGTGTGAATTTGAGTTGGTTTGAGCAAGAAATGAAGTAGGAAATTGAAGAGCCCTTTGGTTCCTTTCCCTCCTTGATGGCCGGCTGTTTGGAGCAAGAGAGAGGGAGTGAAATATGATGTTATTGGCTTCTAAAGAAAGCTTAAAACTTGTGGCCCAAAATTGCTCAAGGTTGTCCACTAAAATAATGCACGTGCGCGCGTTTCGTGTTCGATTCCTCTCAAGTTTATTTCACTAGTGCACTAAACCTCTAATGCACTTTCATTCATATTATTATTATTCACTCTTAATAGTCCCAAAATAAATTTTTTAAGCCCCTCAATTAATCGCGCGCGTGAAAACAAGTATTTCCGATTTGTGCGCGATAAAGCGGAATTTTCAAGAAATTCTTATAACGATAGCATCACTAACTAATACTTGAGTACTTAGACATAAAAATACTTATTTCAAGACTAATGTACAAGCCTCCAATTTTCCAAGCTTATTGTGTCCTCGATTCGATTATTGTCTCCAAACGCATATTCCCTATTCTCACTTAACGAGCTTCCAAAAGTTAAATTTTGAAACGAGTCACTTTAAAAATACACGTGAGCTATTATTCTATGTAATTGTGTAATAAAAGGTCAAAATAAAATGTTCTGAGTAAATGGCCAAATAAATAATTAAATAAGCTAGAAATAGGAAATTTAAATAAGTAAATATTTGCGAGTCCTCACAACTTTAGGAAATGGACTAGCACTAGTTGGCTGAGACTCATGATTTTTAGTAATAATCCATTGTTTTATTCAGCCAATAGAGACATGCAATGGATTCAGAGTATCTTTTAAATCTTTTCACTCGATATTACTGCTGTAGTAGCACATTCGAGACATGAAAGGTAGAAAATATTTATTTTAACATATCCTCATCAATCACAATTTGACCACATAATTTCAATTGGGAGGTAATTCTGAACATGGTTGAATTATATTCATCAACACTTTTGAAATCTTGTCATCGTAAGTGGAACCAATCATACTTAGTTTTTGGAAGAATGATCAACTTCAGGTGGTCAAAACTTTCCTTCAAAATTTTTCAAAGATCATGTGGATTCTTGACTGTAAGATATTCCATTTTCAGCCCTTCATCAAGGTGATGGCAGAGGAATATCATGGCTTTAGCATGGTCTTGACTTGTTGCATCATTATCTTTAGTAATATTTTTCTAAAACCCATGAATTCAAGATGGACTTTCATATCCATTGTCCATAATAAGTAGTTTTCAGAAATATTAAAAGGCACAAATTCCTATTTTGTAAGATTAGTCATAACGAATGTGAAACAAATTTAAAATGAGAAATATTACCTCAATAGTTCATCAAAAATTGTTCGAGGAAGTGTCCAATGATTGATTTAATACCGGTAGAGTCTTGGTAGAGTCTCGTGCTAATTGTGTTTTATAAAACTAATATTAATAGGATGTAAGCTTTGTGTGGTTTATCTAGTGGGTACTATGTTAAGAAAATTAAGAAAATTGATGAATTTAGGAAAAGACACAAGTAAACAAAAAATAAGAACTATTCTTTCATTTTTCTTAAATGATCTTGAGTTCTGTACCCTAGAAATTGCAAACAAGAATTAGACACAATAACCCACAATAACCCTAGAGTTTTGCAGGGCAAGAAACAAGACAAAGATTAAGCACAGAAACCCTAGAATTTGCAAAGTAAGGACGGCTCCAACAATTGAGTAACAAGTGACACAAATGAACAATAAAGACAAAGGGCTATACTTGATACCGTCAGCTAGTTCTGATGCCAAGCTGATACGAACCCACCAAGGAAGGTATGAACTCGTATCCCACACAAGCCCTGGACCTAGACAAGATATTGAAGTTGATTTGCAGAAGAACCTCGACCCCTCTAACCTACAAAGTTATGAACATTGAATTTAATCGCAACCCACAACTCAACAAGGTAGCGAACCAAGATTTGTTGGTAGAAGACACCACAACCAATTGTGATTATTGGTTGACAAGTCGATTTGAATACTCTCGAGTTCAATTCTCAAGTACTCAAAGAAAGTGCACAAGGCAAAAAGAGAATAATTCTCACGAAATTTGTTGGAAATTGTCTAACTATCTAATAAACACTTAGGTTTGGCTATTTATAGACTACAAGGTCTAAAGAAACCGAATCAAACATGACAAGAAAGAAACTAGTTCAAAAAATAACAAGAAAAAATCTAAAAATAGGAAAACTGGTCTGATGAAGATCGACCCGGGACATGAGACTGGCCATTGCGTCAAATATCACCTGAATCTCAACTTGAAAACACAAAACAAACAAGGGAAATGGATCCGTGGGGTGATCCATGGCCTGCTCCCTTGCGGATCGGGTCACGGATCGCTTCTGCTTCACTTTCGCGCAGTTTCTTTGCCAACCAACTCATTCTCGTAGACCTCAAGTAGGGTGTACAATGTTTGGTCATTATTTCAAGGTCTTTAATCACACCATCTTGACCAATGGCTCTAAACCACTCTCAGCAAAGCTTGAAGTGAAACTTTGAGCCACTTCGCGTGAACTCTAGTCATCAAGCCACTTGGAATATCCACTAATGCATCACTTGGACCTTGGACCGCATGGACTTCTTCATCATTTACACATTTAGCTGGATTGGTTTTGTTTGGTTTGATAAATAAGTGGTATCTATTGTTGTTGTAGTGTGTTTAGATAGGGCTGTCAACGGGTCGGAT